ATCAATACTTTTATTTTTAATATTTAAGTACAAAAAATATCAGATACTTTAAGACTTTTACTTAAGTAATATTCCTAAAGGAGACTTTTTAGTATTTTTTTGGTAAGATATTTGTACTTTTTCTCAAGTATCACTTTGTGGTACTTTATACAACACTGATTAAATGTTGAAGGGTCAACGATTAAAARTGTGGATGAATCTGGAGGTGATATTAGTACCTGGTTGATATGGCCCGCTGACTGACAGGGTCTCAGCTCCCTGCCAGCTAACGGAGCTAACAGACTGTCCCTCCTCCCAGGACTGAGTGGAGGTCTGCTCCGACTCCCCTCTGGCTGTGAAGAGACGGCGAGGAGGTGGAAGTTATGTAATGATTCAGCTGAACAAACGGCGACTGCTGCGAAAGCTTYATCATGCTTTAAGCACGGTTTTGACTTCAGCAAACCTTTGCTGAGTCCATTACAATAAGGTTAGTGCAAAGAAAAAGATGTTTTGTTTTCCAGAAGAAAAGCAGATGGCAAGAGCAAAAGTACAGGGTTCCTATATTTAAATATTTGTTTTAAAAACAGCTGCTGCAGCAAYGAAAAGTGAGCGAAGTCAAAGTCATAATTCATACAACTTTTAAAAATAAAAAACGAGGAACGACCTCAAGATGAAAAAAAGAGGACCTTTTTACATTCTGTTCCTTTTTTTCTTCCTTAAGTCATGAAAGAGAAAGTCCAGCTCAAACCAGGTCACTGCTGGTAACCACGATGGAAAGCCATACTTACAAACTAATTGTAAATAAATAGAAAAAGAGGAGCAAGTTAAAAAGAAGCAGTGAGGGTGATGGCACTTGGCGCACAGCCAGTGAGTTAGAAATCTGCCAAAACGCGCGGTGCGAGTCTCCACACACGTCCTGGTACCTGGGAATCCAGGAGAAGACTGAGATGTTTCAGGCACCATCAGTATTGACCAATCATCCGTTTCAGACCTGGTGGATGCTGAGAGCTGTTGCAGAAACTGGAGAGTTTCGTCTCCAGCTGCGYGAGCAAAACAAGTCAGAGAGCTGACAGGCTCATTTCAGGACAAACAGGATTTCTAACACGCCACAGGGACCTACCTCCGTCCAGGTTACGGGACAGCCTCTTGCTCGCGGAGCGAGTGAAGCGAGGAGCTGGGCGGTCGATCATGGAGCTCGCCTGTCGGGTCTGGGCCTGAGTTCGACCGCTGTAGCGAAACTTTGAGCCCAGAACGAGGAAGCGACGGGATGATGGAGGCTCCACTGACTGAACCCTAAACAGGAGATAGATATATTTTACTTTTACAAACTTAACATCGATTCAATTTAACAATTTAATTGCACTGTAGGCAGGGATTTAGCATCCGAATGATAAATTGTAATTTTTATGCAACAAGAGCAACGTCTTTGAACTTCATCACAATGAATAGACAAAAACTCAAAGGTTTAACATTAGGGTTCATGTACATTTTGTTCATTTGATTTTAAATTTAAAAATGGATATTGAAAAACAAAACCCAGCTAGTTATTCTGAAGAAATTTATTGGGGTTTGCTTATATACTGATTTTAATTACACATGGGATATTCTTTTTATTTTTTTTATGACCGGTTTCACCTGCTCCCCCATGTTTGTCTTGTATGTCTTCTTGAATGGTTGTTTCTTAACTGCCCCCTCCCCACTTCCCTGAACGTACAGCACCTTGTGAATTTATTTCTGTGAAAGGCGCTATTTAAATAAAACTTTACTTTACTTTACTATTAGGGGAACAGTAATATCTTTTATGTGATATTTTGCTTAAATTGTTGATTTTATGTAGATCCATGCCTGATCACAGATTCAACACATAACTGAACCGTTGGTCTTCATTAGGACAGAGAATATTGTGTGAGGATATGACTCCAGCAGTGTTAGGGGGCCATCCTGATGATGCAATAAAATAGGCGGAGTCATGTCCTGAAGTTTTTGTTATATTGAAATGACTTCCGGAAAACGAGGCCYGAACGCAGACTGAGAATAAACTGCCTTCAKCCAGAGCGCTCTGTGTGGTGTTGTATGAACTYGTTTAMATTCAATATCCAYGTATTGGTAMATTTTCTGTTTGGCTCAAGCACATAAAATGGTAAACGAACATGTTTAACAATTACCTTTCAGTTCTAYTTCCATTTTATACTCCAAAAACTGAAACATGGTTCGTCTTTTTATTTTTACCCAACAGGAAGTTTACCACTGTCATCAAGGCAACTGTGGAACCGGCTGCAGCCTAAAGTTCCTCACCAAGAACCTGATRATGACTTCATAAAGAAAGGCTTAATGTGCTAAAAGCACCAGAAGCTCCAGGAAACAGTTTAGATCATGAGCGACATACAAACTATCAACTTGTTAAAAAAATGTAAAACGGATTAGACGGCATTTATCTACTGCGGCTGCCTGGTTGGCTAGTTAAAAAGTAAAATGTGTTTATTCATCCCATTGTCAGACCATTTCATTTGAAGCAAGCTTGATATAAAAAAAAGAAAATAGCTTGCCTGGATTTACAAAATAGTCTGGGTTGTCTTGATGACAGTGTTAAATTTTTAGTTTGAGAAAAAATAAAAAGATGAACCATTTTTCAGTTTTTGGAATATAGTGTAATATTTGATATGTTTAAAAAGAAAAAAAATGGAATGACCAAAAGGTCCACAGGCCCATTAGAACTCTTTTTTTTCCCTGCTGAGCCACACAAAAGCTTAATCTGCAGCAAGCAATTAGCCAATTATCTAGACTCTCAGATAAAACCTTTAAAGGACCTGTTGTTGCCGGGCAGATAATGGTCGGTCAGAATTAGTGTTTACCTGAAGAAAGTATGATGTTCGACACAAACTTTCCACAGCTTCTTTGAGGCTTTGTAGTTGGGAAGTTTGAAGCCAATGGTGCTCTCATATTGCTCCTGCTGCAAGTGGAAAAAAACAAGTTTATCTGCAGCACAACACAGATACAATAAAAATCCCATTAATTCTTTTAATAAACAGAAAATATTGTGGCTGCTATAAAAAATGCTAAATTTTACTTTGTATTTTTATGCTTCATTGATATGAACTTTAATCATCTCATTTATATTTATATTTGTACACCCGGAAATAATTAAATGTAATAAAGTCTTTGAACAAATACAACTCTTATTTTGTAGGTTTTTCATAAAAATTACATCGTATCAATTCAAGATGACATCAGTTATTTTTTATTGAACTAGATACAGTTTCTGAACAGGCAGAAACATTAAAAATCTAAATGAATGATTGGGTTTTTACCTCCGACGGCCTGATTTTGATGAAAAAGCTGCTCCGTTTGTAAGAGATTTTGAGCACTTTGGGCCAAGGGAAACGATTGATCCTCAGCTTGTCCTTGTAAACCATCAGACCGCTCGAGCAGACCCCCAACGTGATGTCGACGCCGTCAAGATCCTGCAGGCGAAACAAAAACAGAAAAGAACATTTTACACCTAACACTTACAGAAAAGAGTCACTAGGAGGCAGACTTCCTCACACAAACAGCCCGGTGGTTTGAGGTCATGAGGTTTGAAACATTATTAATCCCTTGTTGTTGGTTTTTTTTATATGAAAAGGGGATGACATCAATTTTGTAATTAAATCTGGATGCGGCTGATGCAGTACAAGCACGCTATTGAAAACTGCTATGGAAGATTTAAAAAATGAAATGAGACTATTTAACTGATAGGTTGAATTAAAATGACTCACTTTGGCTTGATGCAGGTCAACACCGTACATTGCAAGTTTTTTAGCATTTTCTAGAAACAGCATGTCTGCTTGGGCTGGACTCATTGACCTGACAGAGATGAGGAAAATTAAAATCAGCATCAGACTTGACTAAGAATAAAAAAATATACTTAATATACCTAAATAACCTAATTAAAATGAACAGTTTTTTTTTTTTTCACCTGTAAGTGCGGTGCAGCTCCATCACTTTTTCTTCCAGCTCTTTGCTCTGTCCGGGGGCCAGGCTCAGATCTTTAACATAGTCTGTCCCGTGAACCTCTGGGTCATATTCTCCMAGCTCTGACTGGACTGCGTAGGAACCCAGCAGGGACAAAGTGACAAAGGAGCAAGGAAGAACCCCCCGCATGATGTCCTTCCTGAGCTGGAGACACATGAAGTACCTGAAACATATGGAAAACAAACAAAAAAGCAAAGATATGAAGATGTCAAACGTTGATCCCTGTATTTACAATAAATAATTAGGAATAAAATTAGACAACACGGACCAAAGAAGAAAAACTACTATGGGATAAATCTTGTGCCAGCAGGAATTGAATTTAAATTGCTCAGATTGAATTTGAATGTGCATAATTTGAAATTGAATGCATT